TACTCCCATTTACAGTGTTACATAAAAGTGTTTACCACTCAGTAAGTTTACCATTATGAGCAAGCTGACAGTTGGAAAATCTCTGTATTGCAAATGTGAATGCTTCTCCCGGAATTGTTCTCAATCCCTGGGGCAGTCACTGTGCTCAGACACTTTTTTCTTTTTTTTTTTTTTTTCTTCTTTTTTTTGCCGTACACGGGCCTCTCACTGTTGTGGCCTCTCCCGTTGCGGAGCACAGGCTCTGGACACGCAGGCTCAGCGGCCATGGCTCACAGGCCCAGCCGTTCCGCAGCATGTGGGATCTTCCCGGACTGGGGCACGAACCCGTGTCCCCTGCATCAGCAGGCGGACTCTCAACCACTGCGCCACCAGGGAAGCCTCCAGACACTTTTTATACTCAGGAGGGGTGCAGTCGTGTTTGTATAGGTAATAATATAAACTGCAGACACATATTTTGCCCTTAAAATAGCATTATTCATTTTGAAGCAGAAATGCTGCATTGTCCTTGGGGCAAGAAAACTGAGAAACAAATACATATGCTATCTGCCACCCATGCTCACAATTATTAAGTCAGGGATAGGCTTTTGTATTTAGAGCAAGAGATATAGAACGATTTTTCCTTTTAACTAAGAACCATGAAAAGTGAAATAATCTCTAATATGAGAGTATATACTATTATATTTTCATGAAGATATAGATGTAAAAATCAATTTTACATATTCTAAAATTAGACTAAGAAAAGGGGAGAGACTTCATTTATGTTATCCAATTACTACATATTATATTAACTAGTAAGGCAGAATTATTTTCAGTTTAGGTTTAATTTTATTTTCCCCAGATTGGATGAAAATCACTTGGTGCTGAAAGGAAAAATGAAATGAAAGTAAAATATATAAATCTTTGAAATAGTGACTTTTATTTTCATTAATAAGCTCAAATTATTACAACTGCTATTTTATAGCAGAGAATGGTAGTGTTAAAACTGGTCAGTGTTTCTAGTCATGTATATTGATGTATTTAAAGATTTGTTTTGTTCATCACCTTAAAAATTAGTCTAATTTGTTATTTTTATTATAATTTGACATCTAAAATCATCTTTGTTTTACATGTGCATTATTTGACAACATTCATTCTATAAGCATTTATTTATTTTTATCATATGTCAGATATTAGAGTAGTACTATGAGTTTAACACCACAATGATTTGATCACTTTTTCTGAATTGCTAATGAAAACTTTTGGTTTACTGATTTTAATCACCAAACAGTATTCTTTTAGCATCTGGTTACCTTATTACAAATGGACAGCAAATCTATATGGGACGCAAAGATGTTTTCTTCATCTCTGTGAGTTTTTCTTTTTTCAATCTTACCTACTGGAGTTTAATTTGCCTGTTTTATAGTCCCTTATTCTGTTTCCATTTTCTGGCCCACACCAGTACAAGGACATTTATCTTATTTATTTTTGATAGTGTTGACTGAAAAAAAACGCACAGCCTAAGAATTGAGTATCATGTTTTATTCGGTGGACTTGCTGAGGACTTAAGCCCGGGAGGCAGCCTCTCAGATCTCTCTGAGGGACGGCTCCCAAGAGGAAAGGAAGGAGCCAGGATATACAAGAGTTTCTGCAACGAAAACGATGTATCAGAACATCAAAAGATTACTGTTAATTAAAGAAAAAACAGACATCTCAGGTTAATGGATTTAGCACTTTTCTATGTATGGGAAGACACCAGAGTCTGGGCTCATTGAAATCATTCTTTGACATGCACCTTAACTATCTAGTTTGCTAGAGAGTAATCCTGTATCCTGTTTTCTCCATTCTGAATTCCCTCAAGGTGCACAGTTGGTGGTGGCCACAGTGGCTGCTGGCTTAATGGCTGTAACACTTTGTTTACTGTTACGGCAGATGACATTCTTTGCCCACAGTAGGTATGATTGACACTCAGCACCCATTCCTGTTTATTGTGGTTTCTGTACTGCAGAGGCAAGGATGTTAAAAACTACAATATCTAAACTCCCTTGAAATTGAAATTGTAAATATAAATTGAGTTCCACCAATATAAACATACCTGAAATCTGGAGGATATGGTGAAGGTCTTTTCTGGGTGTCTTAGCAGTTTCATCTGGTGGAGAAGGTCATGGACATGTGGGGTTTTATGCAGCAGATTTCACTATTGAATCACTGACTGTGTATTAAAAAGCAGGACTGGCAGAAAGACTGCAATTTTGTGTTGAGTCACCAGCTTCAGGGAGAGATAGCTGGGGAGGAAGTGGTGGCAGCTCTTGGGTACCCAGCTTCCCTCAACTAGTGCAAGGGGATCTTGAACTCAGTCATTCAATGGTGGCTTTTATGCTTCTTACTTTCCTGCTTACGACTGAGGTGTCATCTCCCAGAGAGTCAGATCTGTGGTTCTAGAAGTGACCCATACAGCTCTTCCTTCTAATAAATTTGGAGTGTCTTATTCTGTTATTAAGGCCCCTTTTGCTTAGAAACCTAGAGTGATTTCTGTTTCCTGAGCTGAACCCCTACTAACTTTTATTCTATCCTATTTTCTTGATTTTGACCAAGACATCCTTACTGTTCCCCTCAGCTTAACTAAACTTTAGACAGACTTCTTCATGACTCCATGGCACACTCTCTCTTTCTTTACAGCATTCACTTTAGAAAACTCGTAATTGTAAATTCTTCTCCATCCCATTGAGGTTGGAACTTTCTTGCAAGCTTTGCCAATTTTACAACCCAGGAATGTCTTTCTCAAGGACCTGAAAGTCAGCACTTTGATGGAACCATAGAAGGAGGCAGTGCCCCTCTCTCCCCTCCAGAGAGGGGTGTGTCTAATGTCAATGAGTGACCATTAGCCACACAAATGGCCTGAGCACACTGACCAACACCCCCAGCCCAATATCCACCAGCATTTTTCCACTCGTTCATCCCAACACTTGAAAACCCTTCCACCTACATTTGGTTCAGTGCAGTTGTGTTCCATAGCTCTCCCTTAATTCAATAGTCTTTTTCTTTTATTGTAATACTCTTGAATAAAAATTTCCTTGTCTTTTTACTGGTCTGGTGAACTCTTTTTCTTTCCCTGTTCCTATCTTATGGTTTAGAGTTTGTAAACTAGAAAGAAGAAGAAAGTACTAGAAGGAAGTACTAGAAGGAAGTACTAGAAGGAAGAAGAAAGTACTAGAAGGAAGAAGAAAGCTACATTATTATTCTTAATTGTTTAAAATATATTGTGGACTGTTTTATTCAATCAAAAGAATATACAAGCAATGTATAATGTATATTTATTGTATAAGATAATATAATAAACGTTGTGTACCTTCCATCTGCTTCAAGAAATAACATTAGCAATGAGTTTAGCCTTCTCGATATCCCTCTCTGAACACATTAGTATCTCCCGCCTTGCAGAAACAATTCTGAATTTTATATTCAACATCCCTTTAGTGTTCCTTAGCATTTTATTATATGTGTAGGTATCTCTAAGTGATGTTATTAAGTTTGTGTGTATTTGACTTTTATAGGGACAGTTATCAGAATGTAAGTGTTTTTACAGAATTTGCTGTTATGCAAAACAATATGTTTGTAAGATTCAACCATGTGAATGACTGGTTGTGGTGGTTTTTATAAGCCCTCCAAAAATATTTTTCCTGAATCACCTCTTATAGCCTGATGAACAGAGATGCCCACAGGATGTTCACTACATGACAGAACATTACAAAGTCGAGAGTCATGGACTGGTCTTTGGGCAGCTAATTCTAACTTTGATCTGGGTCCTCCAAATCTCTTAAACTTGCCTTTTTATTTTTCTTCTTATAATGTGGTATTGCACAGAAATCACTTCTAAACACCTCAGAATACTTATTTAATTGTTCTCATACAATTTATCAGGGAGAATGGTGAGAATATATTGCTAAGTAGGAACAAGAATAAGACTGAATTTCCCACTAGCCAGAGTTCAGATTAAATGCTGTGGGATAATACATAGACAAATAAAGTTTAAAAAGTTGCTTTAAAGTTCACTTAGGTCGTCAAAGAGTAGCGACAGCTGTTTCTGTAGACCTTTCATCCCTATGTGGAATAGTATATTCAGCTTAACATGTTCTTAAACATACTGATTTATTATAAATAGTTGCCCCATAAGAAAGAATCAATGGTTTCACACTGCTTCTAATATGCACCCAGTAAACCACAGCTCGGATATTGTGTGTGTAACTTAGCAATGTTGGTGCTGGTTTAATGTTAAAATTCTGGAAAATATCAAACAGAAGACAAACATGCTGTGTTTTAGTGTGGAAAATTAGATCTCATGTTTAAGGAGAATTCTTACAGCCAATAGTCAGCTGAACAAAGACATAAGATTTGTATTCTTTAGAACTACAGCTTAAGAAATACTAACTGTAAAACACTATGAGTATTACAAGAAAACATTTCACATTGAGGAATCTGTAGTAATTGCTTTCCTTTGAATTTAAGATTCACTTTAAATGGAATTATGGGGTGTGTTTATTCCGTTGTCTTCTACGTATCTATTCCAAAGGAAATATGTAAAGAAATTTAGATGTGGAATGTAGAATGGCACCAAAGGTACAATCTGAAACTTTATTTTACATATACCTGCTTCCATTTCTACACACTGTATGATTTTAGGGCAAATTATTTGTCTTCTCTTAATTTAATTTTTCCAGTTAAGAAATAGAGATAATAATAATAGCTACTTGATAGAATGATTATAAAGAGAATTGAAAAAATTTATATTAAATACCTGGCACTATTTTAACATAGAGTAGGAGTGTATATAAACTATATACATGTATATATGCTAGTCTCCTTACTATTATTATTATTAAGAATTGAATTATTATTAAGCTATTCTCCTTACTATTATTAAGAATTGAATTGAAACTATATATATATGTGTGTATATATATAAGCTATTCTTACAACTATTATTATTATTAACAGTTGAATCTCTGCTTTGTTATTGTGTTTAACAGGAAGTTCAGGACATCCCTGTGAGAAAGAACTTTATGAGTGCCTTTCCAACTTACATGTTCATGGAATGTGCAGAGGAAGTGAACCTGACGAAGGCTTGCCATGTTTATGCACACCTGGACTTGTGGTAAAACTTACTGATGGGTTTTGTTGTGATATATTTTTTCATCGTCTTTGAACGAGAGGAAATACTGGAATGTTGCATGGTGACAAACGGAGGTTGGAGACGTTCCTCTCAGTACCTCTCTCCTTCTCTGGCTGCACTTACTGTGCTTTTCTCACCATTCCCCTTCCTTCTTCCATCCATCACATGCACCCTCAGCCCTTCCTATCAGGAGAAAAGCATTCTGAGAGACTGATCTATACAAAGGTGCAAGTGACCAAATGCATTAAAACATTAAAGGGCAAGGAATTCTTATATTTGAGCAAAACATTTTTCTTTTTAACGCCAGAGAGGAATTACTTAATACCATCAGGGTATTGGCAGAACCTCCATTTTGCTCAAGGACATAGCACTGCTACAGGGCTGAGCTCAGAATATTGTGTGTCTGGGGAGGATGAATCTCCTTCTTTGGCAAATTTGAACAGGTGACTCCATTAGCACTAGAATAGACTTACCTGGTAGAAATATCTCTATTAAAAGACAGCTTTTGACCACAATCCTTTATTAAAGCTGGCCACAGCATATGAATATATCGATAGTAAGGGAACAGCAATTGTCAAGACTGTGTTGCCAGGAATTCTAAATGTATATTTATAAAATGTATATATATATGTATAACTAAATCACTTTGCCATACACCTGAAACTACCACAACATAATAAATCAACTATACTCCAATATAAAATTTAAAAATAAATTGTTTTTATTTCCCTCATGGTGCAGTGGTTAAGAATCTGCCTGCCAAGGGAGGGGACAAGGGTTCGAGCCCTGGTCCGGGAAGATCCCACATGCTGTGGAGCAACTAAGCCCATGCGCCACAATTACTGAGCTTGCGCTCTAGAGCCCGCAAGCCATAACTACTGAGCCCGCATGCTACAACTACTGAAGCCTCCATGCCTAGAGCCCATGCTCTGCAACAAGAGAAGCCACCAGAACGAGTAGCCCACACACTGCAACGAAGAGTAGTCCCCACTCGCTGCAACTAGAGGAAGCCCGCATGCAGCAATGAAGACCCACCACTGCCAAAAGATAAAAAATAAAATAAAATGAAATTTTAAAATAAAACATATATATTTATAAATTTGATTAATAGATGGACCAGTCTTAACCAAGATTAAGGCTAAATAATTAGAGAGGGTATCCAGTCAGGTGCAGTATTAAGGAATCACATGTCAAGGAAATGCGAGGCCTGGCCAGTGCTGAAGAAGGATGCCCAGGTATGAATGGGGCAGAGGACTCCTCAGAGCTGGAGGATCAGAAGCAGGAGTCTCCGGAAGTGGTTAAGGAATTGAACAGAAAAATGGTTGATACCTATCACTGGAACACAAGAATTTGAGAAAGCCTGGGTATAAGTCCAATCTGTCTGAGAGGGACATGGGTAAACTAAAACAGAATCATTGTTTTCCTTTCTCTGAGAATCCTCTAGTCCAGGCTTTGCCTTGGGGAAAGAATTTTCCCTTAGTGGCCACAGGAGGATGATCTTTGAGGAAGAATTTCAGGCACTCTGACAACAGAGTGTGGGAGGTATTCAGTGCCAAGAAATTATTTTTGTATCACCTCAGATTACATCAATAATAGCTTCCTCAAGGAGTCAGTAGAAAGAGAAGAAGAATGAACTCTATCCTTTATTTAAGTAAATTCTTCTGCTAATGCAACTGGTATATAGAAATCTAAATAACTAGAAAAGAAATGATCATTTTATAGATTTTTTTGTTGAACAAGAAGAATTTACTACCAAATATCTTTAAAATTCCTTTGAGGTATATGTTGACAATGTAAAAAATATCCTGAAAAACATATAGTTTTATAAAACCAGAAGTCTACTAATTGGAGGGAACTGTTACAGATATAATAAACCTATATTTTACTATGGCAATTAACAAATAAATTTGAAATGGATATTCTTATAGCCACTGTCTCAAGTATTGAAAGCTAAAATAAAACTAAAAACTTACAATCGTAAGATATACTGTGTGGGTAAATCCTATAAAAATATAAGGGGGATTCTATTTTTGTTAATGCGTTTGATATGTTCTAAAATGAACGGATAAAGATAGAGGAAACAATTTAGTGAAAAAGAATTTACAATTTATGTTGTACCTGTCAATGTTATAGCAGTATATAGACATTTTAAATTAAATATGACTTAAAGATATACCCTTGAAAATAGGATGTAAATTATTAATTGGAATTTCAAAAAAAAATGTTTTGCTCAAATATAAGAAAATCAAATATAAGATTTGCAAATATTGTCTCTCATTTAGTAGGCTGCCTTTTTTACTTTGGTAGTTTCCTTCACTGTGCAAGAGCTTTTTAGTTTGATGTAGTCTCATTTGTTTATTTTTGCTTTTGTTTTCCTGGCTTGAGAAGACAGATCCAAAAAAATATTACTAAGACCTATGTCAAAGGGTGTACTGCCTATGTTTTCTAACTAAGAGTTTTATAGTTTCAGATTTTATGCTTAAGTCTTAAATCTATTTTGAGTTTATTTCTGTATATGGTGTGAAAAAGTGGTCCAGTTTGATATTTTTGTGTAGCTGTTCAGTTTTTCCACCACCATTTATTGAAGAGGTTGTTTTTTCTCCATTGTATATTCTTGCCTCCCTTGTCTTAGATTAATTAACCATGAGTGTGTGGGTTTATTTCTGGGCTCTCCTGTTTCATTGAGCTATATGTCTGTTTCTGTGCCAGTACCATGCTGTTTTGATTACAGTAGCTTTGTTGTATAGTTTAAAATCACAGCACTTGATATTTCCAGCTTCATTCTTCTTTCTCAATATTGCTTTAGCTATTTGGGATCTTTTGTGTTTCCACACGAATTTTTAGAATTATTTGTTCTAGTTCTGTGAAAAATGCCATTGGTATTTTGATAGGGATTGCATTGAATCTGTAGATTGCCTTGAGTAGTATGAACATTTTAGCAATATTAATTCTTCCAATCCATGAACACTGTTAAACTTTATGTGTATTTGTGCTTTCTTCAGTTTCTTTCATCAGTGTCATAGTTATTGGAGCACAAGACTTTTACCTTGTTGGTTAGATTTATACAGAGGTAACTTATTCTTTATTCAATTTTAAAGGGATTGTTTTCATCATTTCTCTTTCTGATAGTTCGTTATCAGTGTATAGAAATAAAAGAGATTTCTGTATATAAATTTTGTATCCTGCAATTTGCTGAATTTATTTACTAGTTCTAATAGTCTTTTGATTGTGTCTTTAGGATTTGCTATATATGTATCATGTCATCTGCAAACAGTGACAATTTTACTTCTTCCTCTCCAATCTACACTTATTTCCTTTTCTTGTCTGATTGCTGTACTTAGGGTTTCCAACACTGTTGAATAAAAATGGTGAGAGTGGGCATCCTTGTTGTGCTCCTGATCTTAGAGGCAATGCTTTCAGCTTTTCAACATTAAGTATGATGTTGGCTGGGTATTTCTTATATGTGGGCTTTATTATGTTGAGATTTGTTCCCTCTATACAGTTTGTTGTGGATTTTTTGTCATAAATGGATGTTGAATTTCATTGGAATCTTTTTCAGTATCTATTCTGATCATTGTATAATTTTTATTCTTCTATTAGTTAATGTGATATATCACATTGATTGATTTGTGGATATTAAACCATTCTTGCATCCCTGGGATAAATCCACTTGATTGTACTGTAGGATCATTTTAATGTATTGTTAAATTCATTTTGCTAATATTTTCTTGAAGACTTTTACATCTGCATTCTTTAGTGATATTGGCCTATAATTTTATTTATTTCTTTCTTTGTCTGGTTTTGGTATCAGGGTGATGCTGGCCTCACAGAATGAGTTTGGAAGAGTTCTTTCCTCTTCAGTTTGTTTGTGTAGTTTGAGAAAGATAGGCATTAACTCTTCTCTGAATGTTTGGTAGACTTGTTTTTTGGGAGTTTTTTGTTCTGTTTTGTTTAAATTTCTGACTCAATTTCATTACTAAGAATCAGTCTGTTTGTACTTTCTATTTCTTCCTAATTCAGTCTTGGGGGATTATACTCTTTTAGGCATTTGCCTTTTTCTTCTAGGTTGTCCATTTTATAGGCATATAATTGTTTGTAACAACCTCTCATGTGGTGTTGGTTGTAACTTCTCCTCTCTAATTTCACTTATTTAAGCCCTCTATTTTTATTGATAAGCCTGGATAAAAGGTTATCAATTTCATTTATTTTTTCAAAGAAGCAGCTCTTAGTTTCAATGATCTTTTCTGCTCTTTTTTTAGATTCATTTATTTCTGTTCTGATCTTAATCATTTCTTTCCTTCTGCTAACTTTGGGTTTCTTTGTTTTTCTTTTTTTAGTCCCTTTATGTGTAAGATTATGTTGTTTTCTTTATTTTTCTTGTTTCCTGATGTAGGCTTGTATTGCTATGAACTCCCCTCTTAGAACTCCTTTTGCTCTGTCCCATAGATTTTGGATCCTGTGTTTTTGTTTTCATTTCATTTCTACAGGTATTTTTTTTTTATTTCCTCTTTGATTTCTTCAGTGATCCATTGGTTTTAAACTCCAAGTGTTTGTGGTTTTTGCAGTTTTTTTTTTTTTTCTTATAGGTAATTCTATTCTCGTGGTATTGTGTTCAGAAAAGATGCTTGGTATGATTTTAAACTTTTTAAGTTTTCTGAGACTTGTTTTGTGGCTTAGCATGTGATCTATCCTAGAAAATATCCCATGTGCACTTGAATATGTATAGTCTGCTGCTTTTGGTTGAACTATTCTATAGATAGCTATTAAGTCTATTTGATCTGATGTATCATTTGAGGCCAATGTTTTCCTACTGATTTTCTGGCTGGATGATATGTCAATTTATGTAAATGGGGTGTTAAAGTCCCCTACTATTATTGTGTAACTGTTAATTCATTTCTTTATATTTATTAATATTTGCTTTATGTATTTAGGTGCTCCTGCTTTGAGTGCACATAGATTTACAATTGTTATATCTTCTATTT